AGCAAGAGGGACGAGAACATTGAAAGAATCTCGGCGGCAGTGTATAAGCAGTGAGTTCAAGGCTGCTAGTGAGAAGTCCATAATGAGTTCGCTTGAGAACGACCCGGTAATGTGTTTGAAAGGCAGCTCCGCAAGCTGTTTATTATCTACAAATGGCTGGAGCACACTGTCGCGTACATCATATGGGGAGCCCTACAGAGCTTACCATCAACAGCATATCTCACTCTCACTGCAACTTCGACCCCACCCCTCCCAGGCTTATGGCGACCAATATCGTTTTTGTTCAAAACACAACGGGGAGCGTAATCAGCTTCCAACTTTTTCTCGGATCCCGAGCTCACAACGCCCGATTTTTTTTCCTGTTTCAAGCGCATTCTATGCTTCTCCCCCTCTTCCCCAGCTCTCAGTTCGAAATGATGAGTGTACTCCACACAAGCGACTACAATACTTAACACACACCCTACCAGTTGTTATCCCTTTCTTACCAGTCAGAAATATCCCGTCACATCCCCCTTCCTACTGTTACTGTGACGGGGTATGTGACAATAGAATCGTAATTCGCCGCTCTATCGCGTGCGACGTCCGCCCGCAAAGGACGATGGTTTCAGGCAGTAGATGGCGACAACATGCAATTAAGGACCGAAAACAGTAATGAGTGTCTACGATGACGGGGTCTACATGAAGTCCGGTGCTTCATTCGACAGGTTAAAACGAGTTATGAAAACGCCGCGCGTGGCGGTGCGGCGAATTACGATCCTCTTTACCGTCTCCCACTGACGGGGGCTATGAATCAGGTGACGCCTGGGTTCTCATTCCCCTTATCAGATCTTATCAACAGTCAAACACCTCTTGTCACCCACGAATAATGTTTCCGTCCCATACTCTAATCTTATCTTGGAAGGAAAGTCACACCGTTGCTGGGACTGGCAAGCCATGACTCAGATTTCGTGGTACCCCTTAGGCGCATTCCTTCCACCCCTCTGGTGGGAAACTGTGAATTCTACAAGACGTTTTCCAGTATCCCGTGCATGTGTCGTGTAACGACTCTACTAACGTACACTGCACTTCTCCACAGCGACTCTCCGTTGATATGATGGCGACTATCTGCGTGACTTGTGCACTATGGGCTACAAATGACCTGATAACCGCACCATAACCACGACAGTTTTTGACCAGCAGTAAAAGAGTGACTTTTTGCGACTGATGGCGGACCTCGCATTGAGGTGCGCATTTCTCGAAATGCGTAATTCTCTTAGAATGGCTACCTCCCTAGTGTCAGTCCAATGTTCGCTTACGATCACGATTCTTTCTCAGGTTGCGCCTTTTGAGTCTCTTTATTGTTCCGGTCATCGCTCGCCACGACCTCTGTCAATCTTTGTCCTTTCTTGGGACTTCCCACAGGAAACATTGTCCAACGCTACCGCGTGCTATATGTACTTACGACTCTCACTCGTGCACCAGCTAGCAGTCTTATTGTGACTCGAGACCAACATTCTCGAATGCGCCTTTATCAGAAGAGTCGAATGAGAACAAATCGAATATGGATTCGTCAACGAACTCACGCAGGCTCAGAATAAGAATCAGATGCAGCTCAGGTTGGTTGGCATGAGCTCGTACTCAAGCATTCTAATTTCATAATTGAATCACAACCTCAAAACTAGCCGAATAATCAGGCATGATTTAGGGTAATCAATTGGAGGTCTATTTATATGATCATATTACGGCATGCGACATGCAGGAGCACTCCAGTCACACGGTTGGGCGTACACCTCCTCTCCCCGTAGCCATAGATGACACCATGGTTCACGGTTCCCTGAGCGTTCCTTCCCTGGGAACATTTTTGGTACCTGGTCTATTTTTGCTGTAACACTATTACAAGAGAAATAAGTTTGTTTGATCATTAGTTTACCGAATAGCGCTATTGATGAAAAACGCGACTGGAGTGGTCACGCGGAGCTGATAGGGGGCCGAGGAGGACGCGGCCTTTTGGCAAACTCTTCGGCTGCACGTGAAATGCACGCGATATCGGCGAGGATCCGGACAGTCGCTAAAATGAAAACTTTTCACACTTTTACGTTGAAAGTATTTGCACAGCTGCTCATTTTTTTTTTGCAAAATTTTCGCGATATTTAAAGCGTACGCAAGAAGTTCAACGATATAGTACTGTCAAGGTTTAGGGTAGGACTAAGATTATGACTTAAGTCTTGTAAATCATGAAATGGTCAAAACGACACAAATGGCGGTGAAGTGAGAACAACAAACCACTGTTAGCTTGTTTATTTTAGCACAAACACGGCACGATCCGAGTAAACTACAGACGATTCAACGTCAGAGAGAAATCGTGCTTCGCGCAGGCGTTCTATTGCTGTTGTAAATCATTCCATAGCGTTTGCTTAACGTCAGTCAATAAGTCATATCGATCATGTGCAGACGGCCAAGACGTAATCGTATATTGCCACGTCCGAGTCGCGGGCGGCGGAAATACAGGTGTTTATTCTCAATCCTGTGTATGCCTCGGATCCTGCGACCATCCAACCCTACTATAACCGTGTAAATCGCCTAGACTCCATTGTAATCAATATTTGTGTTTTCGAGTTATACATTGACCCGAAATAGCTCGCCATGCTACGATTCCGAGATTATTGCATTGTGCGAGAGCAACGTCGATGCGACGCCCACCAGCGCTACGAATTACGATTGTCTGTCATCGCAAATTGGTCGTTACACTTTCATATGGCGGAATGATCTCAAGGTCTCAAAGGTCTATAGTTTCTTATTCCTTGTTTTCAGTCCCTATGAGACAACAAAAGGTATTTCATGCTAGAAGTTCTCTGCTACGGATTTCGCTGCACCGTTGTCATCCATGAGATCCGACGCGTTGAGTATCCCGATCACATCCCAGATGTGTGAAATGATCACACTTCACCTCATTTGTAGAGGGAACTTGAAAGTAGCCTTCGAGACCTCCACTGCATCTCGTTTTTCTAAACTGCTCCGTGTCCGCGCCATCAGCTCCACGAAACATTCCGCCGTAGCAGCTTATAGAGATCCGCATATGAATTAGCAGGTGCTAAGTGGTTTATGCTTCTTGAAGCCAAATGACCTCCACTGAACGACATTCTTCCCTTGGTTTCCACAAAATGTTTCCGAAAGGGTTTCACAGAAACTCGTATATTCGGGCACGACCTTTAGTATCATCATCGCCGGATCGTTGCTTCTCAGTCAGCTTAGAAGAGTGAGCGACAAAAATGGCAGTGGGAGATGAAAGCTGGGTGCCACACCTCAACAATTACATCAAGATTCTGTAAGTGCCAAAATAGGAGTGGGAATAGGCACTGAGAAAACCCTAGAAGCAATTTTACGGGAAAGGAGGTTCTTTGGTGTTCCGAGGAGTTTGTTATGGAATGCCCCACTATGGATTCCTCGGAAACCGACACTGTTCTGGAGGCCATGAAATGTTCTGGCCATTTACACAAAAAGGGTAAATCAGTGCTCTAGAGCAGCTCGAGCACGCGAGATATCTACCGTGCCCTCTGCCGCGCCATTTAAGCAATCTAGGAGCTCGGCCTACTTCATATGTTATACTCTTAAACTACCTCATATGTCATTAACTACTTCAAACTACCTCGGGGATCACTACGTCATATGTTGTACTCTTCTGTTATACTCTTCGAATCTATTCCCTTCCAATAACCTCTGCTCCTTGCGCTGAAATAATGTGTATCGTCGCAATCAGTCTGAGCGGAGTGAGGAGGGCTGAAGGAGACCCGAGGTCACAGGGCCTCTGTCTACCGGATATTCTCTCGCTGCGACGCCAGAGTCCTTCCTTATCCCATTTTCTGGCCGAGCATCTCAAGGGAGGACGTTAGCGGAAAGGGAAAAATAAGGAAGGAAGGGAAAGAAGGAGTAAGGAAAAGGAAGGAGGAGGAGGGAGGTTCCTAAGTTGATAGATATCCTGAGGCCGCGCCGCGGGTGGTTACGATATCAATTGTATCTATCGGATTTACTTTACATTTACGAAAATGTTTGTCTAAAACAATCACAGCACTGCCTCGTTATGCCTCAAGACAGGTCAAAATTCTTATGCTTCCTTGAGACGTCAAAATGCTATGCTTCTTCAGAGCAGGTTTACAGCAATACAATATATATATATGTTCAACAAATTGAATAACAGACTTTTATCGGTTACTTGTCAACTTCATTTGTCAATATGGTTTTTCAAGGCTTCGGAACGAGATGACCGTACTACTGAAGAAAGCGGTGAAAAACAAGACATTTATGGCAACGTGAACAACAGGGCACCTAATGAATTCGAACATGTGAGTGATTTCTCCAATAATAGCAATTAGAAAATAAGTTCCTACCGTTTTCTGATTTCTTGTAATTATCGCGGCTGGCTTCCATAATGCCAACAATAATAGATGACTTTGAGCAATAGATCTTGTCTCATTCAGAGGTTCCCATTTTCAGCAGGGCCGCTTTTCAAAACTTCCTGTCTACTTCTTCGTGGATAGTGCTACTCGTGTTCGCCTACATTCGCGAAACTCTACGAAAATGGGGACTCGAACACGACAAAGCTCACAAGGAACTGCCGAAACAAAAGGTAAGCAGTAACAAAAGGTAACAAAAGGTAGCTTATTATTGTCCTTCTCAAAACCTGGGCCAGCTATTATGTACATGCTGGTGGCGCTGTAGTATGTAGTGCTGACTCCCAAATGTACCTTTTCTCTGAAAGTATACCAAGGATTTTTATGGCTGATGAAACTGGCTAGATGATTTGCCGATTTGCCCATTGACTACTTTTTGTTAGCGGGAATGCAGCGTTCTGTGGCTGAGAGTTCAGTGTGGGAAATTTCGATGGTGGCTTCAGTTTGAATTTGAAAGGGAGTTCACCCCTAGTGCGAACTCGTAAATGGCCAGACATTAGAGATTCCTTGGAATAATAGTTGAATGAGAAATAAACTATTCCCAAACTTGTGGCCATCAAAGCAACAATACCTATTCTGGTACTTGATAGCGAAATACGTAAGGTTGCTGCTGCACTTAAACGTGCACAAGGCGAGGAAGGGGCGTGGTTGGACGAGTTCTATCTTGTTGCTGCCAACTATTTCCCCTTACCACCTCACTCTCACAAGTCAAAATAGAGAGAGGTAGTAGAGGTAAAAGAGGTAAAACTACACCACCAGAAAGCCTTCAGAAATAAACGTTGGGCGCTGCCGTATCCAGTGGGCTGAGCCGTGGTTCCGTCGCGAGTGGGCGGCGATTTCCTCTAGCTGCGTATGTAGTGCATCCTAAATGGCAATCCAGGCAGAACTACCATGTCCAAAGAAGGCGCATTAACATCGAATAAACGCGGAGCAATGCTCGAATTGCTGAAAAAAGGAAGTGGCTGGCAAGCACTTGGCACAACGGGCCTCTTAGTCAATTATTCTGCGATCCTTCACACCATTTTTATTTAGGATTTCGTGCCATTATTCGCGGACTTCGAATCTGTATATGCCCGTAATTGCTACATGCGAGTTCGGGACGTGTTCGAGCGACCGATCGGCTCTGTACCGGGTGCCACCGTGAACCTTGTTGACAGAACCACCGATGACTACAACTGGACTTACAAGTAACTTTCTCAGTTCTGAATTTTTCACTGTTTGAATCGAGAGTGTGGAGCAGGAGATTCACGTCATGGTTTTGCGCAGAAATTGTACTTCCCAGATGATAGCGTCGACGTAGTGTGGCTTTTGTCGTTAAAGTCAAGTTGGGCGAATGCAACTCCAGCTGCTGTCACAACGTCACCTCGAATCGGATTTCCTGACCCGCACTCTTGTTGAAATAGTGTTCGGTGTAAGATCCACTACTGAAGAGGCAGTTTTTAGATACCCAGGAACTCAGACGAATGTTATCAATGTTGGCTCGTACAACTACCTAGGCTTCGCACAAACCAGTGGTCCGTGTGCCGATGCAGCTATTGCTCAGATTGACAGCGAAGGTCTGGCCACATGTACGACAGTGCATGAGAGAGGTAATAAAGAGTATACTAGTATTCGCCGTACGGGATGGTACAGAAATCGGGATGGTGCAGAAACTTTTTACTTCAGATGTTCGTTTGCATTCATAGGATTTGAATAATTTTATCTGGGCTGTGTCTACCAATTTCCTACTATATACAGTCCTCATCATTGCGGACCGGTGGGGCGTGGCAGTGCGGCTGCTTTGGTGCGGTTTGGCAAAATCGTTCTGCACCAGTTTTTGAAGCGTGCATTACTGCATTATATCCTTCGTATCACTCGTTTTCTACCACTTTTTGTCGCATACGCGTTGCAACAAAAAGGCTGAGAACGGCTTCAACAGTGTGCGCACTCCTTCTGGCTGGCACGTGGCTGGCACGCCCCACCGGTCCGCAATGATGAGGACTGTATAAACGGCAACGTCTGTCTGTCTGTCTGTCTGTTTGTCTGTTTGTCTGTTTGTCTGTCTGTCTGTCTGTCCGGAAATTCGGAATCACCTGAAGAGCCAGTTGGAGGGGGCGGGTCAAGGGTGGGTTGGGTAGGGCATGGGCCAAGATGTACGGAACACACATGAACTAAGCTAAGCCCCGCCCACTGTGGGCGGGGCGTGCGCACAGTTGTGAGCTACAAATTTCAAAAATTCGTAGTTTGGTTCCAAAAGAGCCCCAAGAGCGGAAAAAGTGGCAAACGATAGGCAATCGGTTGGCGGACGAAATGAGTGAGACACACCCACTTTGGGCGGGGCGTTCTATAGGTGGGCGGTGCTTGCTACGAAACTTTCAAAAATTCGTAGTTTGGTTCCAAAGAGCCCAGAGCGGAAAAAGTGGCAAACGATAGGCAATCTGTTGGCGGTCGAAATCAATGAAGCACACCCCTGACGGGCGGGGCGTTCGCCAAAGTGAACGGTGCCGAGGGCAAAAATCCTCAAAACGCATACGAAAAACCACACAAAATGGGGAGTAAGGAAGTGAAACGGTAAAGTGCGCTAATTCTCAAAACAATATTTTTTCGACCATCGATCCTACTGGCCCTCCACTAGTGGAAAACTTCTCACCGGGACCCACATACTTTTACACGCGGAAGGAGGATCGGCCGGCCGAAGCTGGCCGATCCGCCTGAGTATCCTTAAAACATGTGCCAGGTGTTCCCCATGAGGAGACGGTACTGTGGTCACTGGGAGAATATAGTACTCAGCTTGTTGAGGAGGTCTGCGTAAGTGTGTAAAGAATGAGAATGTCAAGGGATTTTTCGCCTTCACCCTTTCTCTGTGTATCTTTACTCGTTCGACCGAAATACAAGGGTGGAATGAAGTTCAGATTCAGGGGGGGGATAAGTGGTAGAGGCAGCGAGTGTCGGACTTGCATCTAAGGAACCCCTAACACGCCCTAGTAACCATTTTGCATTCGAACATATGGTTCATTCTGCTAAACAAACATGACAGCGAATGTTTAGCAGACGGTTGCAACTCCCGGCAAGTTTCGACACAATCTAGTTTTATGGACAAACCTTGCAAGTGCGGCACCTCCAGCTGATAAGGCGACAGACTTGTTCTATGCGGTCTCCTGGCGCTGCGCCAAATACGACCCTCTGAAACGCTCCCGCGCCAGCAGCGAACAAGACCGTAACCAAACTATGTACGCATTGTGACACCCTTGTCCAGTGAAAAAAGCAATGTCCATTTCATCAAACGCAATAACTGTTCGCTTAGAGACATAGTGGGAGTATGCTTAATTGAGCCCTAGTTTCTAAATTTATGCCAGCCGTCTAATTGTTAGGATGACACTGCCCAGGATTTTGCTGGGGCTACTGATGTCATAATACCAGATTTCTCAAAGGTTTTATGCAGAATAATAGTAATGACGGCGAGAACTAACATATTGCAGTCATCCAGAGACCCATATGTGGTGTGGAGGCTCAGGTGGTGTAGTCGAATCTTTCTGAAGCTCACATGCCTTCCATAACTCCCGGGCTGGTAAACAAGAATCAATCTTGTCCTGTCCTGGTTCTTGAAAAGTACTGCTTCGGCACCGTCTGGCCCCCGCAACTCATTGAAGAGGTCATACCGCATGCAAAATGCAACTACAATTCTGAATAGAAACGAAATGCGTTCCACATCCCGAAAGGGACTGATTAACGTCTAAAGCTTCATCAATTTCATGTTAAGCACCTAGGCTTCAAGCAGATATTCAGGCCGTTCCGTCTCTCAGTACAAACTTGAGAAGCTCGTCGCCGAATTCCTTCATGTTGAAGACGCGATTGTTTTCAGCATGGGCTTTGCAACGAATTCAATGAACGCCCCGTGTCTCGTCGATAAGGTACGGGTATGAGTGTTTCCGGGGTGATGCACTTATGCTTATCAGTTCTCACCAGAGACGATGGCTTTGATTGATAAGAGAGAGGTGATTCACAGTGATTTCAGCACTCTTTGATCATTTCCGACCAACACAATCATGCTTCGCTTATACTTGGATGTCGCCTTTCTGGTGCTTCGACAAAAGTCTTCAAGCACAATGGTTAGTGCAATCACTACCTACATACATGCTTTAATAGTTAAGAAACAAACTAAGGAAACCTGCTATCAGGAATATCACATGCGGAGCATGTGTATCTATAATTAGCGACAAACTGTACATTCACAACCGGGGACAGTCCTTGCCATGTTCGAGAAGACCGCGCCGCCGATAGTACAAATGGCACCTTCGTCACTTAAAGGCAGTTGGCAGGATGGCTTCCCACTCGGCCTAAAATGCTAGTAGGGCGCTATGTAGTGGGGAAATGGCGAAAGAACGGAGTGAAACGGTCAAAATCCGGCGAAGAAAAAGCCTCCGTTCTCAGTGACTTGAAAAATCGATTTCGGACGAGTTTTCCGGTACACCGTCTTGCCAATCACCGCTACCGAAGATACGGCTGCATATGTGTACCCATATATGCATGCAGCATCACGGCCGCTTCATACCAATCCCTTTGCTTCATAATTTGCTCAGCAAATGAATGAATACGAGCGTCAGGAACGGTCGTCCGTTTGTGGGCGGGCGGGCGAGGAAGGCGTTTGGGACGGAATGTTGTTGCTCGATAGGGCGTTATAGGGGTACCCTCCTTGGAAAAAGGCGCCACGGAGCGCCTGTCCGAGGTCACGGAATTCTGTTAAGCCAGTCGTATAAATCCTACATCTGTATAGCGATTTATCGTGCCAACTGCCTTTAAGAGACGGAAATGAGGGTGAAGGGTGGTGACAGTCGGTGCCGTCTCCGGACTCCGCCCCCGCTACAGTGCAGCACTTGCATCGATGCCAAGGTCCCGTTAAGAAACAGTACTCAGCGGTAGAGAACAACCAGAAGTGAGAGGGTGCAAACAAGCAGTGCGACTATGATTAGGCGCGTGGCTGGGCGTGCGGCAGCGCAAGCGGAGTCAAGGATCGGCACTCGGGTATCGCTACCGTCCGACCCGTTCCAATGCACTTCTGAACGGAGAAGGTGGCACGCTACTGCAGCTGCGGACCCATTTATCTCACACATGGCGAGGACCAGGATCCACGGAAAGTGAATGTACTGTTTTTGTCAGAGTGCTGCGATTAGGACTTCTCCACCG